CACACACACACACACACACACACACACACACACACACACACACACACACACACACACACACACACACACACACACACACACACACACAGACACTGTAAGACTGTTCCAGATACGATACGTATGCATCCTGGTGGAGAAGGGATTGTTGCGGTGATTGCTTAACACACGACACGTATATGTTAGCATACACTTGCACACGCATATGCCTCCTCACCACATTGAGTAACTTGCCTGAGGCTCCATCCATTTTCATAAGCCAAATCACTAGTAGAAAAGCAATGCTATAGCTATTTGCAACTGCGTTCATATCCAGGAAATGGCTGTGTCACAATGGCCAGTTTGTTTGTGGTTGTTAAAAGGACAGATGCTATTCTTTTTTCTAACAGCCTGTGTCCGTGGACACTTTTTTGGGCCTGGTGACATTTCATGTCACTTGATATGACTTGGGACAGACCTTCGTGACTCTGGCCCAAAGGTCAGATTCAGATTGCTATTTTTTCATAGAATAGCATGTGGGTTGAGTCCGTTTGACTTTAGACGTATTATAGTAGGCTTTCCCCAGGTGTTGCTATTCTCTGCCAAGCTTTCACACTTGCACGGTTGCATGTAAAAATATTTGTGCATGGTTACTTCAAGGGCTGATAAGTGCTGTGCATGGTGTCCGAACTGACCACAGGGTAACTATGTTGGGACCGCAGGATAAGAGTCATATGCTCAAGTACTGTGGTGTCAAACCACCAGCACCCTGCTCAGCTACCCTCAAGGATGGGCTGGTTAGCACGGTGTCGCAGTCAGGTTGGGTCTACCCGAGATGGGTGGCTCCAGAAGGGGCCACAAAAAAAATTGAATCTGACCATTTTGGCGTAGTGGACTCTGATCTCTTTGTTGAAAAATTCTGAAGAGAAAGGCAGTGAAATAATTTAAAAGTCAAATATATCAGCTCTAGCATTACTTGGTTGAAGTTGAGTGTGTCCTTGTTGGTATTGTAACTCCACATCTCACTAACGGCACCGGTTGCACACAACCTCAACATGACCGATAGCCACATCTCAGTACCCAAACATCTGTCTGTCTTCCCACCATACATCCCCGACCTGGTTGTTTGTCTCTTCACTAGTCCCTCTTCGCCAAAGCAACAACAATTACGTGTAGTGCTGCTGTCACCCAATTGGGCTGGCAGTGAACCAGTCGATTCAATAATGTGCTCAAGAGTCAAGAGTGAGAAAAGGCTGGTTGCTACATGGTCTCCGTGCAGGTCTGAATTTTCCCTCGCCATCTCCCTCTTTTCAATGTGCACGTTTGACTTTGATTGTGCAGCCTCAGGTCAGATCTGTCTCTCGTCTTACTCTGTCGCCACATACACACACACACGCACACACGCACACACACAATTGTGGAGTTTAGGAGAGGAGCATTGAAGTGCTAACCAAGAGGAGGGAAGAGGAGATAACTCTCTGGTCAGTCTCTCTCTCTCTCTCTCTCTCTCTCTCTCTC